CGATGCACTTGACACGGCCTCGCAATTCCCAAACTCTACACCAGAAGCCCTGAGCCGAAAGCTGTAAACCCAAACCCTACAGACCTGATCTAGGTGTCGGTACCTGGTCCAGAAGGGGGCTAATGTGAACCAGACGGCATCTCGATCCTGGAAGCTTTTGTGGGTTTCGATGGGTTTCGGGTTTATGTTTTTGTCGATGGTGGTCTAAGTGCCTCTGTGTATAGAACGTGAGCATTATATGTAGTCGTAGGGCGTAGGGGAAAATTGTTTACACTTGATGTGATAGGTCAGACCTTTGAGCTTTCGCATGTCCCCAGAGACTTAGCAGCGTCGTTCCGCTTGGTTTCGAAGAATGGGCTTAGGTTTAGGGTTCACGAGTTCAGGGCTCGGTCGATCGTGAAATCAGGGACCCCAAATATCTCGGGCAGAATGCAAGGGTTTCCCTCCGCATACTCCCACACATCTGTTTGTCAGTCTGTCCGTCTGTCTTTTGTGTAGGTATATGTTTTGCACGCATGCATGCATGCACGCATGTCTGCCATGTGGCGCGGTGCAACAATGCAATGGATTGGAATGGAATGGAAAGGATTGTAGTCTAACGCACTGTTGATGGTATAAATCCTGCATTACCTTAAGGACCCTAAACCATGGGAATATACCTTTATAATTAGCATCAACCGTACGTAGTGTGTTGTAGTGTAATACAGTGTAGTGCAGTGCAGTGTAGTGCTGTGTATAGCATATAGTTGAAGTTTAGTGTGGTGTATGTATAGTAGGAATGTGTGTTGTATGCAATCATGCATGCATGCATGCGGGCGCACCTGCGTGGGTGTGTGCGTGCATGCGTGCCTGCGTCGGGCGGGCGTGCCTGCCTGTCTATCTATCTATCTATTTATCTCTCTATCCATCTATCTACAGTACCTGGCCTATCTGTCTGTCTATCTATCCATTTATCTTTCCATCTGTCTGTCTATCTATCTATCTATATCTATATCTATCTATCTACCTATCTATTTATTTCTCTATCCATCTATCTGATCTATCTACAGTACCTGTCTGTCTATCTGTCTATCTATCCATTGATCTATCTATCTGTCTATCGATCTGTCTATCTAGTACATACTTTCATATATATATATACTTATATATATATATATATATATTCATATATACATATATATATATATGCAGACATAGATATGCATATATATATATATGTGCATGCATATATATATATATTGATACACATACATATGACTCTCTCTCTCTCTCTCTTTTCTGTCTCTCTTGAAGCTCACATTAAGTTTAGACAGTACTCCAACCGGTTTGAGGATTCAGAGGTGTAATCTTTCTGCACCAGATGTAAATCTAAAACCACCGCAAGCTGCTGCATATGTAAGCTGTGCCACCAGCCTAAGGACCGGTCACATCAGACGCCTCTTTTCTTCGCAGCGAGCAAAAAGCATGCAGCTTGCCTATGCAGTGCTCGTACTTGCTCGCGCACCTAAGGCATCCTGAGGCAGGTTCACGCAGCTAAGTGCGATTTACTTTTCGTGCGCATTTCTTTCTAAGGTGCAGGCTTCGAAACGGCTTAAGGTTGGTTGGTGCAGGTTGCCAAGCGAAGCCGTTTGGCAAGGGCATCAGCGCGTGACTGAGGAAGATAACTGGATACTACTTGATGGGCTGCCCAAGCATAGCGAACAAGAACCAGCATGACGCAAGAAATCGGCTTTGAACATTTTGGAAACGTTGAATCAAGCGAACATCACCACAACAGAAGCTGCTAAACAATAAGTTAACATCATCAAGAGTATGTTTACCCTGTCTGCAGCCGGTTGTGTGTCGAGGCTGCGCAAGTCGGAAGCACAAATCAACAAACGCACACACACACACACATTCACGCGCGCGCCTGACAAAACGCTCTTCTTGCCGCGTGAGCTTCCATAAGCAAAAACTCAGCCCTCAGGCTGAAATTTGTCAGTTCCTTCTCAGTGCCGGAGCCGACAACAACCACATTGACAAGTTGCTCGGACGATGGCTGGACGCATCGGTTTGTGAAGGGGTGTCAGCCCAGACCCGATATGTGTTTTCTGTACATGTCATAGAGAGAAACAGAATAGCCTCCATCAGGATTTTAGCTTCATATGACAATTATGCTGACAGTGATCAGCTGTGTGGTCGGTGCAGAATCCCAGGGGCCACCCTTCAGCGGAAAGGGGTCCTTCCTAATAACTTGGTTTGTGAACCCTAAAATTTACAGCGTCCAATCAGCTTGCCAATTCGCTTACGGATTGACTTGCTTTCGCAAGTTGTGTACAAGATCCGACATACGGGTAGCTCAAGTCAATCTGTATGAATGCGTTGCAGTAGAGCGCTACAGCAACTCAACCCTTCCCTGGTCAGGTTTGGCTACGAGCCATTTTTTTGGGCCGTGCGCAACGGGAACGTGAAAGAGATGCCACGTGCTTGTCAAGCTTTCCACGTCGTGGTCTTCCCCTCGTCGTACTTCTACCCCTAAGTTGGAACTCCTCCCTGATGTTCCAACGCTCCAGAGGTAGTGTAGAGGCTGGTGGGTGTATGCTTGCATTAATCATCACCTCTAGCGGATGCTTCCTCCAACAGTCCATGATACTGAAGAAGAAGTTTCAGCGAGCATCCTCTGCCCGGGCCCGGTGCCCATGCTGTAGTGTCGTTGGAACGGATGCTCAGGATGCATCACATCAGGAACTAAAGAAGCAACCACACTACCCGATTGCCTTGTTTTAAAGCGGGGATTACGGGGCATCCCAACCTTATGGTTTTTGTTTAGGTGCTTTTTGGGTCACGGTATTCAGAACGGATGCGAACATGTACACGTGCGTTCACGTGCATCTCGCTGTAAGTAGGCTTGGACAGTTTCAATGTGGATGTGACTTTCTTGGAAAGGTAATGGCTCCTATGTTCTTCTCGAGATGTGTTGTGTGTCCAGGTACATACGTATGCATGTTGCATGTGTTGTATTCACATATGCACAGACATAGACAAGTACACATGGACAGCTAGCTCGTCATTTCGCAATCAAATCCACGAATGTAGAAGCCCGAATAAGTAGCAACACCGTTACTATTCCTTAGGGCTCCTTATTATGGTTCTATTACTATATATTTATATCTACAATATATGTGCATATACATATATTCCAAAACCCGATTGGCGCCATTCCGGCTCCTGTGCTAATCAAATCCTCTACCTTGCCCGAAATTCCTAAACCCTGGCCCTAAAGCCCTAAGCCTTGAAACCCTAAAGTCCTAGGCAGTGAAACCCTCAAGCCCTGAGTCTTGAAACCTTAAAGCCCGAAGTCTTGAAACCCTAAAACTCTTTCGCTAAGGGAGGTTCTCCTCCAGGACAAGCCCGTCGACATGCAAACAACTTGCGGCTGGACACCCCTCTTCAGGGCAACAGGCAGGGCTTAGTGTTAAGGGTTTAGGGGAATGCGGCGCGTTGCCTTTAAGGGTTTATAGCCCGTCTGTAGAGCACCGGCTTTGCAGAGAATCGGACAAGAATGACTGCTTGCTGGCACTCGCAAGCTAGAGTTTGCTTTGAGGGCAGAAGGACAATAGTTTCCAACTTTCTTGCAGTTGCTGTATTGTTTGTTTCGGTAATGGGGCCTGGTGAGTCTAGCAACTGTCTAGGGACACGGGGTAGGCTGCCCTGTGCTGTCCCCATAGAAGCATTGCAAAACAACACCCGTAAAAAAACTGCTCCCCAAGCCTGAAACTACTGCGATCCCTAAACCCACATCCGCAGTCCTCATCCTATGTAGATCAAATATATAGTATCGAAGCCTGGGAAGTTACCCATGTTAGTTCTTGGGGCTTCTGCTTGCAATTATACCAGGAGACCTAGTCCCCCTTTTGAAGGCCGCTTGATCACCCCACAGCCCACTGCATGCGCTGAACTGTTGAAATTGTCTCAGCTTCTTCGGCACAGTGGCTCATCGACCGGGGAGCGCAGGCCAGGGGATGTCTTGCAGGGCTCAGGGCTTTTGGTGTTGGGCGACGTCTAGTGTTTTCGCACTTGCAGGATTAGGGGCTTGGCGGTGAACGATTCAAGGCTTTAGGAGTCAAGCGACCCCGATATGTCTAGAACCAAGGTAACTTGCACTGGTGCTTGACTGTTGAAGACGACCGGAGTGCGAGTCCAGGTTAGCTAAGGCATGCCATTAATTGTGCATGACACTATAAATTCTCACAAAAACGCAATTAAGAAAGATTCTATCTCTCCTTTCGTGTCTCTCTTTCTCTCCCTCCATCCCTCCACCTACCCGGCCGGCCGGCCGGCCACCCACTCAGCCAGCCAGCCATCCATCCATGCAGCTAATTCCTTACCTGTCCATCTATCTGTATATCTGTATACCGACCTTATTTCTATCTACCAACATATCTTTCTACCACTGTACCAACGGACCATTCTACCTATCTACCCATTCATCTATGCGTTTATCCATTGACCGATGTCTCCATCCATCCATCCATCCGTCCATCCATCCATGCATCCATCCATCTATCTTTGTTTCTTCCTGTCTATCCACCTATCTGTCTGTCCATCGGTTTGTCTGTGTATTTATTTGACTCGGGATTTATCTCTCGATTCATTTATCGATCTGTCTGTCTGTCTGTCTGTCTGTCTGTCTGTCCGTCTGTCTGTCTGTCTCTCTGTCTGTCTGTCTGTCTGTCTGTCTGTCTGTCTGTCTGTCTGTCTATATCTGTCTTTCTATGTACCTACCTATCTATACCAGTCTATCCATCCATATGTATACCTATCTAAATCTGTCTGAACCTGTCTAAACCCATCTACATCTATCTAGGTCTTTCTGTATATATCGATCGATCTATCTATCTGTCGGTCTATCCATCTATCTATAGAGTCAGATCCAGGAGATTGAAACTTGTTGGCAGGTGAACCACGTGGACAACTTACGGAAGCAGACTGCGATCTTCTTCGCAGTAAAGCGGAACGACATGGAGTTGGTGAAGGCTTCATCTTCAGTATACTGAGCATGCTCTGTCACAATATGTATTGCTTGCCATGTATGGCACAGGTTCTGCTGTTTTCAGTGTCCTGAGTCGAAGCACCAGTTAGCTTGATGCAAACCCCCTGCGGTGCTTCGCACCTGCTCAGAACCTATACGCAAGAGGAAGCCAGAAAGAGCATGCTAGATCCGCAAGATAGCTGTTTGGCACCAAGCATGATCAGTTGTTTGCATCGGAGGTCCTTCTGCGTCACGGGGCGGTGGCTTGCTCGAAGTTTGTGGGTTGAGGATGATTGAGAACAGCTTGTGCGAAGCCGTTTCTGTTCAATCCTAGCAGGGTCAACAAGTTCCAAACAAAGTCATCATAAATTTCACGACCACCGGTCTTTGTGTCTGTGGCCAGCACAGAGGTCAGCATGCTTGGAAACATGTGCAGACCATTGCAAACATGCTACACAACTGGGGCAATGGCAACCGCCACTGCTGCAGCACCACAAAGCAGGAGCGCCGGCACCGCCACCACCACCGCCACCGCCACCGCCACCACCACCACCACCACCACCATCACCACTATCATCAAGAACAGCAACAAACAGATACATGGCCTGAAGCGATGACAGGAGCATCAGCAAGAGAAGTGATGAAAGCAGCACCAGTGTTCGAAGTGAACCTGGCGGTCCGGGTGGTGGTAGCGATGGCTGGGGAGTAGGAGTAGCATTTGTGGTGGTGGTGGTGGTGGTGGTGGTAGCAGTAGAAGTACTAGTAGCACTTGCAGTATTACTATTCTTCTTATTATGTTTTAATAGTAGTAGTACTAGTAGTAGCAGTAGTAGTACTGTTGATGCCAGAAATCCTTCATGACTTACAACATCGCACATATTCCATGTCGCGCTACCCGCTTCCCCGCAACCCTGTAATGTCGTATCCTCATGGGGTCATGCAGGAGTAGGGCATTCGCGCAAGCCTTTTTTCTAGCCCCTGCATCAGAGCAATATTAAAATTAGGTGTAGCAGGGGACCCGTGTGGAGTTTCAATTTCATGCAAGATTTCGGGCATCAGCCGTAGCAGCAGCAGCAGCAGCAGGAGGAGGAGGAGTAGTAGTAGTAGTAGCAGCAGAAGCGCGGCAGCAGCAGCAGGTGTTGTTGCTGCTGCTGTTGCTGCTGCTCTTGTGGTGCTAGCAGTCTTCGGGCAGATTGCCCCCGTCGAGGAGGAGCTTATGGACTCAATGATAACATAAACCCATTCTAGACCTACAGGACCTTTTTTCCGAGTATTGAAACACCTAAACGATGTACTCATATCTGGTTACTTGGATAACCAACGTAGGAAAGATCTTTCTGGAGGGTCCCATGACACGGATTAGTAGCTGGATCGTGTGTTGCTTTCAGTGTTCGATGTCTTGATCTTTCGTGGTCTTTGAACTGCGACCTCCTGTGCACGGTTCACCCAGGACGTTAACTTCAAGGATATTCACGGACAGACATGCCCGACCCTCAGGGCGAGTGTGTTGATGCTCGTGGCTTTCCCGCGTAGAGACGTGCTACTTAGATACTTCAACCGCGTCTTGCGGATGTTTCTTTTTCGCATCGCTTGTTCCCGCAGATCGGTTCAGTAAACCATTGTGCCGAAGCCCTGAACCGTGTACCGCTGCATACTTGCACACTGCATGTTTCACGTCCTATTAGTACCTTCGCTGGACATAGGGCGGGGATCACCGGTGTGAGGGCCAAGCGAGATCGTGATGTCGAGCTTTTGAGGAGGTCTTAATGACTTCATTGCTTGAGAAATGACAGCTCCCCGTATCCGACTTTCAATTGGGAATGCTGTTTCCAGCTTCAGCATGTCCTTGCGCCCGCCGCCAGGTTTGTTTTACGCTGTCAACGCGGGATTTACCGAGATGACCAAGCTGCTTGTCGAGATGAAAGCAGACATCCTCATCAAGGACCTGCTGGCAGTGCTTGTCGAGTTGATGGTGTAGTGCAAGGCATTTAAACGAACATGTGCGAAACGAACATGTGCGGCTGTTTGATTAACATGCGTGGCTACTCGTGTCTAAGTAGCGAGCCCAATAAGTATGACCAATCGATCAGTATGTACATATATGTATATGATATGTTATATGTGTAGAAAAAATTGTATAATGTAGATGTAAACATATGTGTATATCTGTACACATATTGACATGCGGCAGAGGGGCACTCCGGCGTCAGTGCACATACCTAAGAGGGCTTTGTGCAGCCTGTCAAAGCACATAAGGCAGGCTAACTCTCTTTGTGTGTCGAAACCACGAGAACTTCATTCTGCCTCAATACGCTTGATCGTGATTTAAAACATTGCAGTTTTGGTCTCTTAGTAAGAGACAAGAGGACTCCTGCTGCACTACTATTAGGAAGAAGTAAATGACCTCCTACTGCCTTTCAATTAAGAAGTGAGGCTGGAAGCACGTCTGCACCTCTCAATGTCTCGGGGAAGGTAGGGCGACACCGCTACAGCTTATACGCATCTCTTGTTGTTCACAGAAGGACTCACAATAAGGCACCCGAGATCTCCTGTGTCACGAAAAGCTGCGCATCGTTTTCCCATACGACAAACAAGAAGTGGGAGACCTCCTACAAGGCATGTTGCCATCACCAACTTAAGTGGGAACACCTCCATATCTCGTTGCCTGGTTAAGACATTATGACAACTCCATATTATCTTATGTTGTTCGGTGAGGGAAACACGAAGAAGCGCAGTTGGAATCAGGGAGCTTACCTATCCCTCAGGGCAACGAACCTCCTTTTTTCAGTGTCGAGAAGAGAACACAAGAGCCCTTTCCGATGGTGGGAAGACAAACAGCCCCTTCACTTCATAGTAGGACCTTTATCTTATTATGAAACATCGAGTTCAGGCAATGAGCCTATCAACAAGTAGACAGTATCGTGACAGTCTCCCAATGGGATTTAAGGTTGTGCAAAGGGTTTTGTGTTTGCATAGACACTCCGCAGCAGCCACATGCAGACACACGTTTGATTTGTACAAGGTCGAGCTATTCAACAAACGGTCTACAACTGCTGAATACCATCAAAAATACTGTTACTTTTCGTATTACTACTACTACTACTACTACTACTGCTACTACCTACTACCTACTACTGCTACCACCACTACTACTACTACTACTACTACTACTAATACTACTACTACTACTACTACTACTACTACGACGACTACGACGACAACTACGACGACTACGACGACTACGACGACTACGACTAGGACTACGACTACGACTGCTACTGCTACTGCTACTGCTACTCCCTCTCCTACTCCTACTACTATCACTACTCCTACTACTACTACTACTACTACTGCTACTGCTACTGCTACTGCTACTGCTACTGCTACTGCTACTGCTACGGCTACTGCTACTGTTACTACTACTACTACTACTACTACTATTACTACTACTACTACTACTACTCCTGCTGCTGCTACTACTACTACTACTACTACTCTAAGTACTTACTACTTACTACTCACTACTTTCTACCTTCTACTTACTACTTACTACTTAGTACGACTACGACGACGACTATCACCACGACGACGACCAACGACTCACGCGTGGTTGCAGACATTTCAGTCAACGACTCTGATATTGATACTAATTCGTACTGATCGATTCCGTTTTGGATATCATGAAAAGCTGAAAAACCGCAAACTGCATGCATATCCTGACCAGGATCTCGGTCAAAGGACAGCAACGTTCTATGCCAGAAAAAACGGACCGCTCAAAGCGGAAAGTGCCATTCGCTACGTGCCCCTAGGCAGCAGGAGTTTTAGACTGGGTTTCAGGTAGCGGCTGCAGGAGGCCATCTTTGGCATGTCGTGTTTTAGCAATGTGGGAACCTTTGTTTCCTCGACTGCTAGCAGGCTGCAAGCTAGGTTTCATTCCAGGCTACATCTTTCAAATTAGAGACATGGGGGGTTCGCATCACGCCTTCATCTTGTGTCTTCACGTCTTCTTTGGGGTTCTCCTGCGTCTGCATGTGTCCGCGCACCTGCTGTAATTCTTGATGTGCCGCCATGCTGTTGAGAAAGTCCTTGCATAGCGTGTGCCCTGGGTGCTGGGTGTTTGTGAGTTTGCGAGTTCTTGGTTCCACATTTCGTTCTTGTTGTCTCACATGTATTTCATCAAAAACTGCCGTACTTGTTCATTTCCCTTGCCTGTTAGCATGCAAGGCCTGAAGAGGGTTACGGCCGCTGGCGTTTGCCATGGCTCGAGTAACTACAATACGTTCTTTGTTATCCCCATAAGCCCTAAACACTAACACCCCGAAAACCTAGACCCGTTATTTCTAAATATAGTTTGGGGACCATGCACGGCGAGGGTCGCGCCGCGTGCAGCCGCACAGGGTTCCAGGTGGGATCCAGCAGATGCCGGGACATGTTTAGCCCATGTAGGAGTTACTCGAATCGCCTAGAACACGTCGTTTTCGGATTTTTAAAATCATTTCCATATGCATAGGAATAGCAATGAGGATAATCGTAACAGCAAAGGATGCATGCATATATATATATGCACATACACGTATTTATGGTTATATATATACACACACACACATATATATATATACATATCTGTCTATATATATATATATATACCTGTTTATTCATACATATGTACACAGTGTACAATATAATAGATACCGTGTGTATATATATATATATGTGTGTGTGTATGTATTTGTATATGTATATGTCTGTCTGTCTGTATGCATGCATGCATGCATGCATGCATGTACGTATATATGTACGTTGTATACATATATATATATGTACATGTATATGTATATGTATATGATGCCGGTGCGGCCAGCCTCCCCTGGTGTGGTTGTGAGCTCTGTGGTGTGTGGTGTGTTTCGGGGTTGGGTCTGCTCGGGGTGG